TGGGCAATTCCCTGAGCTGAATCTTCCCACACAGAGCTGACTGCAGACACTGTGTGATTCTACAGCTGGGTGCGTGTGTGTGCGCACATACGCGCAGCAGGACAGGGTGAGGGAGTCTAGGCTGGTGGAACGGGCGGGCTCAGTGGGACCCCAATATATCAGGTGGCACCGCAGAAGGGGGGTCCAAACTGTCACAGTATGTCTACACTTATACCGCAACGGTGGCACCACAGTAGTGCTTTGGTATAGATACTACCTACGCTGACGGGAAGGGTTTTCCCATAGGCATAGGTAATCCACCTCCCCGAGAAGCGGTAGCCAGGTCAACAGAAGAATTTTTCCGTTGACTCAGTGCTGTCCACCTGGGGTTAGGTTGGCATAGCTACATCTCTTATGGGTAGGGATTTTTCACACCGAGAGATACAGCCATGCCAATGTAAGTTCCCAGTGTAATTCAGCCCTGTGTCAGAGTTCTCACTACACGCAGCCAGAACTGGAGCAGGGCTGACATTGTCCCATCTGGTCTCATGGAACTTAACAGAAAAAGTGAACAGAAACAGAAGATGCAGAACCCTCCCTCTCCTATAGAGCTACGCTACCAGCAAGCTCATTGGGGGCCAGAGCTACAACTGAAATATGGGACCTCCATAAGGAAAGGCTTGGGGTCAACTTTACTGCAGTGGGGAAAATCCCACCCCCAATCCACATCAACAGGACAACACAGGCATCTCCACAAGAGAATTCTTGCAGAGATTCCCCATTAAGTCACCTCATATGGTTAAAAGCTGCAGGAAGACATAATGTGGGCCATATTTACTATTCTATAATAGACTGGGATTTGTCTGTAACAAAGGACATGTTTTTCTCAAGAAAACTAATTTAATTTTAAAAATTGGAAGAGACATTTTAAAAACAAAAAGAGAACACCCCCAACTTTATGCATCATCGACCCTACAAAAGTTATTCAAAAAACAGGAGGATGGATAGTAGGTTGGGAAATAGTAAACAAAATATTGCATCATTTGCAAAAGCTTTCATGTACAACAAAAAGGATTACTGATGAAATGAAATATCCCTTCGTTAAAACAAATTAATATTCCACCTGGAAAATACTACGCAAGCCTCTTTGTTTTTGAATGACCTCTGGGCCAAGTACAGATCACAGACTAACCAGTAAGTCAATCGAAAACCAAGTCTGACTCTTCCAAAGCTCTCTCTTGGGAACTCTAGCAACAGTTAAAAAGCTCTTTGTTTCCATTCAACCCAATATGTAGGGGTGGAAAAGCTTTTCAAAACATTAAAGAGAAACAAGTGAGGTCTGTTACCGTTCCAAGAAGCAAATTAAGGTCTAAATTCTGAGACTGTCAAGCACCCGCAACTTCCATTAAAGTCAGAGGATGCTGGCTGTGCTCAGCGCCCCTCAGGATTTGGCTCTAATGGTAGGATAACCGGTTTTTCCAGAATTCGCTGCTTTGGAACTTTTAAAACCATTACCGCCTTTGTGTCTATTTGTTAGGTTATGTTTTTATAGCTCACAGCAATAATATAAATACATTTTAGAGGGATATTATAATACAAGTTCCTGCAAGCAGTTCATCTGAATGCTGCTGAAGTACAGTTCCCAGGTTTAACTAATAACTAGCAAGCCACTTTTCCTTTACAAATATTAGTATGGAGAAGGAATAATGTTAAAAAAAATATTTTAAAAAGGGCCATAATCGCTGTATTGAAGCTTTACATATCCAGTGAGAAAAGAAATTCGAACACTGAAAAATGGAACAATGAATCAAAGTGATCTGGGATAAAATCTTACCCACTTTGATAAATTCACCCAGGAGCTACACAGAATAGTTTTAGTTTGGATTATTTCAAGTGTTCTAGATTTGTTTGCTAAATTGTTACTTAAAAACTGCATCATACTACGTGAATCTAAAAGTTACTCTTATTAATTAACTAAATAATAAAGGAAAATTAAATGTGTGGCATACCAAGGAGAACTGGAATCTAGTCAGCTATAACTCACATTGTACCATTAGATCTGGCCTGAATTTTCCTAAAAGGTCATCCCATAGCCTGGCTGATCACATATTTGTACATAGATGACAGGTATATTATAGAAAATGTAAGCTAATAAGCAGGCCATAAGAGAGACACACTCTCTCTTCCATCAACTTCAACCTAACATGTCCAAAACTGAACTCTTCCTTTCCTCCCAAACTGACCCCACTCACTCAATCCTGTCACTGTTGACAACACCAATATGTGCCCTGCCACCCAGACCCATAATTTGGTCCAGACTCCATCTCCCCTGACCATCACATCCAGGCTTTGTTCAAATCTTTGTTTCTTCCTCCTAATACAGTATTTCTAAGACACCGCCTTCCTTGTGAAGGGAGTGTTCCACTCACTCATGCTGGGAAAGGGTTAATATGAGGCCAATTAACCCATCTGCAAAGTCTGGCGGATGGGGCAAGCCTAATTAGAAATAAAGCCCAGGGCTTGTTTCCATAAAAAGCTGAGTGAACCCAACTGAGGAAAGGAGACTGGGAGGAGACGAGGTAGAGAGTTCCCCTTCTCTGGGAAGCAGTATGTAAGAAGACTGAGAAGGATAGTACAACAGAGCTAACAGGCTACTGCCCAGGTAAGCTGCAAGCCTAAGTGGAGCCAGGGGTCCTGAGGCGCTGTAGCCTGCCTGTACCCCTGAGTAAGGGAAGGGGGACTCCAGGCCCTGGGCTATGGGATTGATTGAGGTACAGAAGCCTCTACTTAGGTAGGAAGACAGTATACAGTAGCAGAGGCATGCCTATGATGAGATGGTTGCTCACTGAACCCATCTGGAATGAAGGTTTGGTTAGTATCCATTTCTGTAAATGACCCTGTGGGACAGGACTCTGCAAAGTGGTCTCTCTGGAAAGCCAGGACACTCTTATGGCCGGAGTAGGCCAAAGGACAGTGAGGGAAACTGAGGCAAAGGTTGCTGCAGCACCACAGCCAGCCAGGAAGGGGAGTGTTGAGGTGGCAACTTTGCCACCCCCTCACGTCTCTAACATTGTAACTTGATACCATCTATTCTATCTAGCCCTCCCACAATCCCTCCACTTCTACATATGAAATTCAAGCTTCTCGGCCTTACCTTCTGAACCATTAGCAGCTTTTTTACTTCCTATTATATCCATTCTATCCTCTCACCTCCTGCCCTCTAGGCACCGCTAACGACAACAGCCTCATCTGCCCATTTGTCCATGGTCTTCAACCAAGATAGTCAATGATGACTGGTGATTTTGGGTGCCAAACAATTTCTTTAACACATACCTCTTTAAGGTGTCTGAAGTTGGGCAGACAAAAATTGAGGCACCCAGTCATCCATCACTTTTGAAAATCTTGCCTGGGTGCCTTCTTCCATGCCGCTCATTATCAATAGACTGCCCTCCCTGAACTGATCCCTAAAACCTTCTCCTCCAAATTAATCCTGAATAAATCTCTTCTTCTATGATGACTATACGAAATTGGCAATCTGACAATGGACAGATTAAATACAATCTGAAACCAACAATCTGTCCAAGGGAAAAAAAATCTAAAAAGGTATATAAATATTGCACATTTTGATGGTACCCCTCATCCCTCAGCCATCACACTTTGTCTGTCTGTGTGGGGCTGTGTGTTTTTCGCCCCCGAGTGTATATCTTTACTTTGTTAGTACATTGCTCTTTCCTGCTCCCTTCATCAGCTTCTTGGTCCTCCTAGAGTAAAGCTTTTGGGGGCATGGCTGCCTCTTATTATGCATTTATACAGTGGCAGACACAGTGTGCCCCTGATCTAAACTGGGACCACAAATATAACAGACCAAGAATAATCCACACCACCCTTAAATGGACGTAAGCTCAGAATTGGCAATATATGTATTTATGCCTTTTCCAAGTTGCATTACAAACTTTCAAATATTCAAGTTTCAAAACAAAAGGTTAGATATGGACAGGGGAGGGAGGGGAGAGGAGAGAAATGGTTAATTTTATGTCCGGTACCAGACTTTATTCTCAACTGTGAGTTGCTGTTTTTGAAACAAAAGAAGCTAATGGCTTGGCAAAAGGCAGACGACATTTTATACACCAGAACCTGAACTCATCCTTTCAAAGCAGACCGTTCTGATCTGTAGAGCTTTTCAGTACTGTTGAACTCTTAGTATCCCTTTAGTTACTGAATGAATGTTTACGTAACAGATTAAAAAAAACACCACATGGATAATTGAGCCATATGGCCGCACACACTACCACCTCTGAGAATCCAGATGTCACAGTAACCACAAGAGGAAAGAGAGTAGCTTGTGATGCTGAAGTAAAAAGACTTGAGTTTGTCTGTAGGGGCTTATTCACCCTAGTGTTTTATAGTGGACTAACACCTAGGACGTTATCTTAATTTAAAGAAAAAACAGAGATAAATGAAGGTATTTGTGAAGTGTCAATTACTGCAGTATATTTTGCATACAACTTCATATCACAAATGGAAACACTTTCAAGATGGATGTTTTAAACTTAGCTATTTTTTGTTTTGTTTTCAAGTGCAATCATCAACAATTTGTTACACAATTACAGCACTCAGCACAACAACATGCTGGCTTGCTTATCACAGCCATACTCTTAACAATATTTTGTACTTTTTAAGATACCACACTACCATCAAGAAAAATGTTAGCATCATCATTAGGTAGTTTCACTTCACAACTGTAAAATATCACTTTTTCAAATGTCAGAAAAGGCTGAGACAACACTTGCAACATTTTAATGAATGCTGGATTTAAAGTGATAGTACTGAATCAAATTGGGACCCAAAGTTTAGGGTTTTTTAACTAACCTAAGTCTAACAGGACGTTTAACTTTCTGAAAGTGGAATTTTATTAACATCACGGGAACAGTGATTTTTCAAAGTTTTCGAACATCTGATGTGTTTTACCTACCGATCCAAAAAAATAACGACCTTTGTTTTGCTCAAAAGCGAAAGGATACGAGGCGTTCCTTCTGTTCTACACACCAAGTAGAGACATGCAGCAATTACATGGGTCATCTTTCTCCCACGGGTTAAGTGCTTGCTCACCGCCATCTTGAAAAAGTTAAAGGCAGTATCAAGACAATGCTGGTTGAGTTGCAACTGGTTTCCCAAGTGATGAATTTGACGTTTCCCTAAGAAAAGAGAGAGAGAAAACTCTTTAAACAATTTTGTAATTAATCCACTTTTTAACAAAGGACCAAACTTAAGAAAAACTTTGCTTAGGAATTCAAATTACTTGGCATTTTGTTGCAGAAGAATGTCTTTCTTTTAATAAAACACAGAAAGACTAAGAAGGCATATAATACAGTAAGTTATTTTCAACATAGAACAATTTCTTAGATCATGTAGCTCCATGGAGATTATGCCCTACATTTTCAAATGTGTCCACTATTTTTGGGCACTCAATTTGAGACAGTTAGACTGATTTTCAGAGGGTCCCAGCATCCCACTGAAGTCAACCAAAGAGTTTTGGTGCTCAGCACCTCTGGGGAAAAAAATCAGGGCCTAAGGTCTCAATTTGGGCAGAACTGAGGCAACCACATTAGTAAACATCAAAAACGTAGATCCATCCTTCTTCGTTTGGATGAGATAGCATCCAAAGTGTACTAGACCCTTTTCCAAATACCACTTTAATTGCAAACAAATTATACATTTTGTGGCAATTTTCCCAAAACTGATGAAGTATGTGGTTCCCTTAAAGACACACCAAAACCACAAGGAAAGGAGCTTATGGAGCTTATCTCAAAGCTTATTCATGGTTGTCACTGATAGGGCAGAACTTCCTTCCTCTGAACATATTCAGAGAAGAGGCTTCATTTAAGGTTTAGCTGCCAGACTATGTGGATTCAGGAAAACAAATGTACATGTCTTTTAAGGTGAAGGCACTTCAGATGAGTCATGATAGGAAGTGATACAGCTGCTAATACAGACATGGAAAGCAAGGTCCAGCCCTCTCTCAAAGCTCTAGCTATCGGAAACCGTGCCAAGAAGGGAATGTGAGGCTGTAACATGTAACTCTGAATTTGATTTGTTACTAATACTATAGCAATTCTAACTTTTCACTTCTCAAGGGCAGGTACCTGTATCCACCTAACTAGGGCATAAGAAAAGAATCTGCTGGTAACAAATTTTCTATTCCATGCCCTCATTGCCACAAGCACAAACAAATGAAGTATGAGTAGCAATTCTTCAGTGGATAAATATATATGGAGGGGAAGACTCGAAAACACATCCAATGAAGCCAAAATAAATACTTTCTAGACCTTCAACAATCAACTAAACTCAGTACTTAATGCCACAGTAAATAATTGGAGTCCTAAAGGAGGATAAATACACTACCTCCTTGAGGACTCGGTGCCTGAAGGCTGAGTACAAGTCATAAACTGGCTATAATGCTTTGTAAAAATATGCAGATACCTCCTGGTTGTTCTCCTTACCCAAAGATGTTGCTACAGCTCGAGTGGAGTGGGTTACAATTTTATAAGGACAATGTACTCAATTCTTTGTAGGACTGGTAAATGCACAGTTTAAACCCCATAAGCAGGCCTATGAAGGTGGTTACAAAAAATCTGAGCCTGATGCAAAGTTGAAGCAGGAGCTAGTGGATTCAAAGAGGGGGAGGAGATGTTCTGAATGACAGGCAAAGATGCTACTGGCATCATTTTCTATGGACTGGAGATGGAAAATATGGATGTCCAGAAGGCCTTAAGAGGAGTAATTAAAGCAGATGATGAGAGGAGGACCTGGCACAAGAATTTTCAGCATTAGAAATAAAAGGACAGACTGTAGAAATGATGCAGAGAAGTGGCAGGACTTAAGACGCTGCCTGGGTATGTGGGGCAAGGAAGAGGGAGGAGTCAAAGACAACTCCCAGGATATGAATTTGAGTGCTGGGGAGGAAGGTGGTTGATGGTGAGGGTAGAAAAGCAGTTTGATTTTGGTCACATCAGGATTTAACAGAACTTGTTAGCTCCATTTTTTTTATTTTTTATTTTTAATATTCATTAATTTATTCAGACAGAGGTGAGGAAAAAATAAAGGGAGAGAAAGAGGACACTGAAAGGGAGGGAGAGAAAGGAAAAGATGGAGTGGTGCATAGTGTGTGGACTGTGAGGAAAAGAGGGAGGGGGGGTTGGATGATACAATCAGTAAGTAGATGGAAAAGAACATCCAGAGTTCAAACAGTAAAAAGCAGCTTAACACTGACATCTAAGTGCTGAAAAGGGAGAGAGAGAGAGAGAGAGAGAGAGAGAGACCTATCCCTGGGCCTCTTCCTGCTCCACTGCTGCAGCTCCCAGACCTTGGTGGGGAAATCCTTGCTACTTCTATGTCTTGATGCTCTGCTGATGCTGTTTACTCAAACTAAGCTGCGTTAATCAGAATTTGTAAACTCAACTGTAAAAGGTTGATTGATTGCTCTGTAATTCAAACTAATGTAGGTTGTTCATGATTAATTTTGAAAGCACATTTAACAGAAGTTGTGTTGTCTGTTATTTTTTCACCCAAGAAGATTCTACTGCTGAGATAAAATTAATACATGTTTAATCCTTAAACAGTTGAAAGGCTGTCTTGCTCGTGAGAAGTGTGAACACACATTTATCTTTAATGAAAGGTATTCCTTAGCTATCTGGCATTAAAGGATTAGAAAGAAAAAATCACTACAAGCACTTCAAGACAGAGCTATTGATCATAACAGTGCATTGTTCTTCACTCCTATCAAAGCTTATTTATGCTCGGTTTTAATCTCTCTGTTTTGTTTGGACAGTGTTTTTACATCAAATCACATTTATATTCACATTTTTAAATGGCATAATTATTCTTAGTGATTTCTACAATGCATGTCTACCATTTATAAGTCAGTTGTTACCCTTACCACAACAGATGGCACATTACTGCTGATCTGCACACTTACTCCATCACCCATCTACGTCACTTCTAGATTGTTCTAGGCAGAGGAGATTTGCTTATGACTAGTGATCTGACAGTTTTAGAAAGGATTGCTTTTTCCCATGATTTTAAAAGATATTTTTCAGCCATACCAAAAATGTCAGAACTTGCTCTACAGAAGTTATAAACCACATTGCAGTTAACAAAAAATAAATTTCATAAATCAGCAAACTGAAGAAAATTCAAAGTTACAGTTCATTGCCCATAGATAATTTTCCCAGGCAAGTGCCATCAACTTCTGCAGAATCTGAACTTCTGTTTCATATTAAACACTAAAAGCTACGTTTCTGTTATGTAAAACCTTTCAATATAAACGGAGTACAAATTGATGCAGTGGCGTCTGTCTGCTAGCAGTCAGCTCCAGTGACTCTGCAGATGGTAAGAGGTTTTCTAAACTGCGGCAGAGTGAAAACAAACAAGAGCCTTGTCAGCTTTCAATGTTCTTCAGAATCCTGTGGGCATCAGTGAAACTGAAAAGAATCCTGTTAATTACATTCTGCAGCAGCTTGGGAAACCAGAAACAGTAGCAGAGGAGCCAGGCATTGGAGTTATGCAATGAGGAACTACAAACTGATGCTGGAGAAGGGATAGAGCAACAAAAACATCCCCCATTGCAGCAGCTATATAGCGGAGACAGAGAGATATACACTCCGTATCTCAGCAGCCATGAGCCTAGAGGAAAAAGAGTAACAGATACCCCCCCAATCAAGCTCACAGAAACCATGGGTCTTCAGATTTATCAGATGCTTACTAGATCGAGGCTGATATGAAAGATGAAGAAGCCTCTGAGCAGGGTCCAGGGAACGACACCCTGGCACATAAGAATGGCCATACTGGATCAGACCAATGGTCCAGTATCTTGTCTCGGACAGTGGACAGTACTTCAGAGAGAATGAACAGAACAGGGCATCTAGCCCAGTATCCTGTCTTCTGACAGTGGCAAGTGCCAGACACTTCAGAGTGAATTAACAGAACAAGGCAATTATCAAGTGATCCATCCCATCGTCCAGTCCCAGCTTCTGGCAGTCAGAGGTGTAGGGATGCCCAGGGCATAGGGTTGCATCCCTGACCATCTTGGTTAATATCCACTGATGTGTCTCTCCTCCACGAACTGATATAATTCTTTTTGAATGAGAGTCAATGTGATGCACTTGCAAAAAAGGCTAATATCATTCTGGGGTGTATTAACAGGAGTGTCATACGTAAGGCACAGGAGGTAATGGTCCCACTCTACTCGGCACGGTGAGGTTTGAGCTGGAGTACTGTGTCCAATTCTAGGTGCCACACTTTAAGAAAGATGTGGACAAATTGGAGGGAGTCCAGAGAAAAGCAACAAAAATAATAAAATTTTTAGAAAATCTGACCTACTAGGAAAGGTTTAAAAAGTGAGCATGTTTAAATCTTAGGAAAAGAAAACTGAGGGGGAATCTGATAGTCTTCAAATATGTTAAGGGCTGTTATAAAGAGGATGTTATCCTCCATGTCCACTGAAGGTAGGACAAGTAGTAGTGGGCTTAATCTGCAGCAAGGGTGATCTATGTTAGATATTAGGAAAAGCTTTCTAACGATAGTAAAGCTCTGGAATAGGCTTCCAAAAGAGGTTGTGGAATCCCAATCATTGGAGGTTCTTAAGAACAAGTTAGACAAACACCTGTTAGGGATGGGTCTAGGTTTACTTGGTCCTGCTTCAGTGCAGAGGGCTAGACATAATGACTGAAAGGCTCCTTCCAGACCTACATTTCTATGATTCCAAGATAAGGTGGGTGAGAAGGCAGAAAACATGATATGGGGGTGGGATGGGGAGGGGAGATAAGTTGTTGAGAAGAAGAAAAGACAGTTACTGAAAACTACACAAGACGAGATAAACATTATCTACAATGGAAAGAAAAAGAAAGAAAAGTGAAGGGAAGCCAGGAAGGAAAAGGAAGTATAACAAAAGTAAGATGTCTAAAGTTTAATACAGATTTAAAACATTTTATATATAAAAGATGACAGCAGTGCCCAGCTGTTCTATTCTTTCACACAGAAGAGGGCTGGTGGCACAAAACTTGGTCCTGAAGGTAGGAGGCGTCAGGTAATTTTTCTTGAAGTCCTAATTAAAGAATTAAACTCTGTCCTTAAATAATCACCTTCCAACTGGATATTGCAGTTACAGAGTTACATATAAATTTTAGTACATGTAGAC